AGGAACCTTAGAGGTCATCTAGTCCATCCCTCTGGCCAGGGTAGGGGGGGTCTTCTCCTAAGGGAGCCTGGGCTGAAGTGTGGCTAGCTTAAGTGGATTTTTGGAGGGAGGGAGGGATGAAGGGAAGGGGGGAAGAGGAGAAGGAGAAGGAGGAGGAGGAGGAATTATATGGAGAAGGGAAGAAAGGAGGAGGAGATGGAGGAAGAGGAGGAAGAGGAGGAGGAGGAGGAGAAGGAATAAGGGAGGATGAAGGAGAAAGAAAAGGAGAAGAAGGAGAAGGCAGAGGCAGGAGGAAGGGCAGGAGGAGGGGAAGGGAGAAAGGTGGATGAAGGAGAAGGAGAAGGAGAAAGAGGAGAAGATGGAGGAGAAGGAAAAGGAGGAGAAGATGGAAGAAGAGGAGGAAGAGGAGGAGGAGGAGGAGGAGAAGGAATAGGGGAGGATGAAGGAGAAAGAAAAGGAGAAGAAGGAGAAGGCAGAGGCAGGAGGAAGGGTAGGAGGAGGGGAAGGGAGAAAGGTGGATAAAGGAGAAGGAGAAGGAGAAAGAGGAGGAGATGGAGGAGAAGGAAAAGGAGGAGAAGATGGAAGAAGAGGAGGAAGAGGAGGAGGAGGAGGAGAAGGAATAAGGGAGGATGAAGGAGAAAGAAAAGGAGAAGAAGGAGAAGGCAGAGGCAGGAGGAAGGGTAGGAGGAGGGGAAGGGAGAAAGGTGGATGAAGAAGAAGGAGAAAGAGGAGAAGATGGAGGAGAAGGAAAAGGAGGAGAAGATGGAAGAAGAGGAGGAAGAGGAGGAGAAGGAATAAGGGAGGATGAAGGAGAAAGAAAAGGAGAAGGCAGAGGCAGGAGGAAGTGTAGGAGGAGGTGAAGGGAGAAAGGTGGATGAAGGAGAAGGAGAAAGAGGAGAAGATGGAGAGGGAGAAAAAGAAGATGGAGACAGAGGAGGGAGAGGAGGAGGAGGAGGGAGAAAGGAGGATGAAGGAGAAGGAAAAAGAGGAGGTGGAGGAGAGGGAGAAGGAGAAAAAGAAGATGGAGACAGACGAGGTAGAGGAGGAGGAGGAAGAAAGGAGGAGGGAGAAGGAAAAGTAGAAAGGGGAGAAAGTGGAGACAGAGGAGGAAGAGGAGGAGGGGAAGGGAGAAAGGTGAATGAAGGAGGAGAAGGAGAAAGAGGAGGAAATGGAGGAGGAGAAGGAAAAGAAGAAGATAGAGACAGAGGAGGAAGAGGAGGAGGGGAAGGGAGAAAGGTGGATGAAGGAGAAGGAGAAGGAGAAAGAGAAGGTGTAGAAGGAGAAGGAGAAGAAGGAGAAGATAGAGACAGAGGAGGAAGAGGAGGAGGGGAAGGGAGAAAGGTGGATGAAGGAGGAGAAGGAGAAAGAGGAGAAAATGGAGGAGGAGAAGGAAAAGAAGGAGAAGATGGAGACAGAGGAGGAAGAGGAGGAGGGGAAGGGGGAAAGGTGGACGAAGGAGAAGGAAAAGAAGGAGAAAAGGAGGAGAAGATATGATAATTAAGACGAATGGGTCTCCTCAGAGAAAGCAGCACAATCATTAAAGTTATTTCTCTCCAGAGATTTTCCCAGAATCCCCTTAAGAGTTGAGCTGGGCAGATCACGTGACCTATAAAACTCTGCTTTAATTCTTTTTTTTTTTCCTCCCAAAAAATCCTTGTTAACGTTCACCAGAAGAAGAAAAACAAAAAGCCAAAGAAAGCAGAAGAAAGAAAAAGAACATTTCAACCTCTCTAAATGGGATTTTTCTTTCCCCCACTTTTCTTCTTCTGCTTCTCCGCTTCCCCTTCCTGTTGTTTTAAGTGGGGGGTTTTAAATCTGAAAAGTCCAGACAGAGGAAGAGATTTTGGGGCGATTTTTTATTTATTTATTTATTTTATGGAGGAAATAATCTTGCTTTGGTTTGCCCCCCCCCCAAAAAAAACTATGAGTTAACCATATTTGGATATTAAGACAAGAACTCAAAATTTCAGGGGCTTTTTCCAATTTGAGGCCCAGGTAGACTTGAAAGACGACTGGAGGCTCAGCCTGTACAGCTCCCTTGTTGGGTCTTTTAAGCTTCCCTCCTTCCTGTGCACAATCCCCATCCCACCTCCGGCAACACAAACAAGCACACACCCACAATCACACTCCTGTATAAATCACACTTCCAGACTCGCTTCCCAAAAGACAAACGGCAAATCTTCCTTTTTTGCAAATTTCGGTCTGCATTTTCATCTTTTCTCAGGATATTCATTCTCTTTTTTTTTTCTCCCCTTCCTGATTCTCCCACGTTCCTTTCTTCCAGAAGACAAACACCCCCCCCCATCCTCCCCAATGAGGGGGAATGATAACCCCTCACCCCACAAATCTTGGATTAATGATGATTAATTTGTGTGCAGCCTGGCCAGATAGTGGAAAAATTAAGATTTTTTCATTAGCAGCGAAGGCTCAAAGGACTGTTTTGATCAGAGGGGGGGGGGGGAAAAACTACACAATTATTTTTGTGTGTTTCTGGATTTTGTGCTGGGGAAAAAACCACGAAACTTTTGATTTTGGGGTTTTACCGATGAGATAGGATTGTTGTTACTGAAAGTGTGACTTTATACTATTATGGAAAAAGTAAAAAAAGAGAGAGATTGGAAGTGGTTATCATATTTCCACTCTGCACCAAAGGGATGTTTTTTTTTTGTCAAGGTTTTCTCTTTCTTTTCTCCTTTTTTCTATGCTTCTCTCTTCCTTCCTTCCTTCCTCCAGTGTCTTTCCATTCCTTTCTTTCTTCCTCTCATTCTGATCTCCTTCCTTCCATCCATCCATCCTTCTTCCTTCCTTTCCTTCCCTCCTCCTCCTCGCCTCCCTTCCTCCCTTCCTTCCTCCCTTCCTTCCTCCAGTCTTTCCATTCCTTTCTTCCTCTCATTCTGATCTCCTTCCTTCCATCCATCCATCCATCCTTCTTCCTTCCTTTCCTTCCTTCCTCCTCCTCGCCTCCCTTCCTCCCTTCCTTCCTCCAGTGTCTTTCCATTCCTTTCTTTCTTCCTCTCATTCTGATCTCCTTCCTTCCATCCATCCATCCTTCTTCCTTCCTTTCCTTCCCTCCTCCTCCTCGCCTCCCTTCTTCCCTCCCTCCCTCCCTTCCTTCCTCCAGTCTTTCCATTCCTTTCTTCCTCTCATTCTGATCTCCTTCCTTCCATCCATCCATCCTTCTTCCTTCCTTTCCTTCCCTCCTCCTCCTCGCCTCCCTTCCTCCCTCCCTCCCTTCCTTTCTTCCTCCAGTGTCTTTCCATTCCTTTCTTTCTTCCTCTCATTCTGTTCTCCTTCCTTCCATCCATCCTTCTTCCTTCCTTTCCTTCCCTCCTCCTCCTCGCCTCCCTTCCTCCCTCCCTCCTTCCCTCCCTCCCTTCCTTCCTCCAGTGTCTTTCCATTCCTTTCTTTCTTCCTCTCATTCTGATCTCCTTCCATCCATCCATCCATCCTTCTTCCTTCCTTTCCTTCCTTCCTCCTCCTCGCCTTCCTCCCTCCCTCCCTCCCTCCCTCCCTTCCTTCCTTCCTCCAGTGTCTTTCCTATTATTTCCTTTTGCGTTTTTGTGTTGTATATGATCCGCAAATTAAAAAGGAGAATATATCAGGGGAGGGGGGAAAAAAGAAAGAAGGAAGATTATTTTTCCTCCGTGCGCCACAAAATATTTTCTTGTTTAGGGGGGCTCTGCTGGGACCCCTTTGCCCCCCCCAAGTGGGGTCTTTAGGAAGGGACAGAGATGGGGGGGGAGGAAAAAGGAAGAACCACCACGGCAAAAATTCTGGTGGCGCCGACATTTACAGTAGAAAAAAAGAGAGAAAAAGAAAACAGAAGTTCCGAATCATCTTTTTTTTTTCCCCTGCTTCAACAGTTTTTCGCTTAAAACTCTTCCTGCCTCTCGGTTCCTATTTCTTCTTTTCTACCTTCACAGAAACAAAATAGTTTTGTTCTAGAGAAAGGAAGAAAACAGGGGGGTTTTTTTCCCCCACCCTTTTTCTTCCCCACTTTTCGTGTCTCGATTTCTTCTTTTCGAAACTTTCCCGCAGCCTAAAAAGGCCTCTTGCGCCTTCGTTGACCAGCAGCTACGGCTGTTCTTGTTTGGCTCGTTCACGACAGCCCTGCGGTGCGGGGCAGCTTAGAGATGAGCCACCGTTTACGAATTTCTGTCATTCCTTCTCTCTTGCTTCCTTTCCTTCGTTTTTCTCCTTCATGGTTCTTTCCTTTCCTTCTTCTCTATTTACTTCCTTTCCTTTCCTTCTTCATTTACTTCCTTTCTCTTCTCTTCCTTCCCTTCTCTTCCATTTACTTCCTTTCCCTTCCCTTCCTTTCCTTTCCTTCTTTCCTCTCTTTTCTCCCTCTTCCCTTCCCTCCCTTTCCCTTCCCTTCTTCCTTTCTCCCCCTTCCCTCCCCTCTCCATTCTTTCCTTTCTCCTCCTTTTCCCTTTTCTTTCTCTCCCTTCCTTCCCCATCATTTATCTTCTTCCTTCCTCCCTTCCCGACATTCTTTCCCTCCTTCTTTCGCGTCTCTCTCCTTCATTCCCTCTTTTCTTCCTTTCTCTCGCTCTTCCAGCCATCCCACCATCACCCTTTTCTCAAAGACACACACACCTAAATAAACAAACACACAAATGAATTCCCGTCTTTTAAAAGGCTAAACCTGCAGCCGAAGCTCCAAGAAAGTAGAAAAATCGTGCCAGCCTGGCTGGCAGCTGTGGGTGCAAACGGATCACCCATTTCCACCCCTCACCTTAACGACGCATCCGTAAACTCACACACACACCCAGGCACACACAAACACACACAAATTAATCTTTGTTTTGGAAGCATTCGTCCGCAGCCACCGGCCAGAGCGAATTTTCGAACCGTCTCACCTGGCTGCTCGCAAGGCAACGTGGAGGACGCGAATCCGGCCGCGGCCGCCAGGATGTGGGCGATCAGGGTGGCACCAGCCAGCCACATGATGCCAAGGCGATGCCCCCGCGGGCCCAGGACTCCTGCCAGCTGCCTCGGTTGCAGAGAAACATTTGAGGAACTTCAAGTCGCGGCTGTTGAAATTAGTGACTAATGTCCCTTTCGGAGTTGTGAAAGCAGGTGGGGAGATTGAGCAATGGGGTGGAGCTGGCAGAGGGCACAGGGGGCAGGACGGGGTGGGGGGGGCGTAGGTGGGGGAAAATACACCAGCGTTGTGCAGAAAGAAAATATGAGGCACCCGGGTTTCCCCCCTCCCCTCCCGGTGTCCCAGCGCTTTCTCTTTCAAAATAAGGTTGTTTCCCAGTGCAAATTCACCAAGAATTTGCAAAATTCAGGGAGGTCCTCGATTTACGACCACAGCTGAGCCCCGTCGCTAAGCGGGACGCTTGTGGAGCTTTGCCACCGCTTTCCTTGCCACCGTTACGGGAAATCCCTGCCGTTAAGTTAGGGATGCGGGGGGGGGGTTTGGCTTCCCCGTTGACTTGGCTCGTTCGAAGGACGCAAAAAGGGATCGTGGGAATTCCCGACTGTCGTAAATACGAGTCGGTGGCCCAGCGTCTGAATTTTGAGCGCCTGAACCAACCGGGGGGGGGGACGCTGCAAAAGGTCGTTAAGTGGGGGAAACGGCTCTTTTTTTTTTAAGGGCCGTTGTAACTTCGGTCACTAAACGAACCGTCGTTAAGTCGAGGACGGACGGTAAATGGCTCGGGAGGGGGAGCTGGGATGATATTGATAAACAGCCCCACGCCGCCAAGGAAGAGGTTGCAGGTGGGTTTGAGGGGACGCAAGCCTTTTAGGCCGCTCGAGTGAGCGAGCCAAGCTGGGCGAGGCGGGGCTTTCCCGTGGCTTGGCCACGCCCACATGTCCTTTCACGGTTTTCCAAAGTGACGAGATGCATTTTTGGGTTTTCAAAAAAACGTACCCCAGATCTGACTTTCGACAAATATCCGAGGTTATCCCCATCCAGTTCTACTCCGATAGCATCTTATAAAGGGAAACTCAAGTTTCTAGACCTCATGGCGATAACGTGAAAACAAACAAAAAAAGGATTCGAAGCCCTTGACTCTCCGTTCTGCAAATTCCTTCTTTAAAAATTAAGAAGAGGAGTAGAAATGGAGGGGAAAACACTCATTGCCAGCCCCACACACATAGGAGAACGTACTGAAGAGGTAGTCCTCAATTTATGACCACCAATGGGATTGGATTTTCTGTCGTTCATTTGGCATGAGTTGGACGTTGAATCATCGTGTGCCCGGATGTGATTTTTTACGACCATTTTTACCATGGTCGTTAAGCGAGTCACATGGTCATTAAGTGATCATGTAGCCGGCATGACTCAATGCCAAAGGCGCACAGAACGCTGTTCCCTTCCCACCAAAGATGGTCCCTATTTTTCTACTGCCTTTTTTTTTTTTTAACGTGCTTTCAAACTGCTAGGTTGGCAGAAGCTGGCACAAGTCACGGGAGCTCACCCCGTTTCGCAGCACTCGGGATTCGAACCGCCGAACTGCCGACTTTTCGATCGACAAGCTCAGCGTCTTAGCCACCGAGCCACCGTGTCAGGTAGGAAAGTCGCAAATTGCGATCGTGTGACCACCGTGGCGTGTGTGTGTGTGTGTGTGTGTGTTTGTGTGTGTGACAGTCATAATTGCAACAACAATTGCAACGAATCCTCTTTTCCCGTCACTTTGAACCGTCGTTAAACTGTACACCATAGCCCCTCCAACAAGATCGCCTAGATCTCTCAATAAAGGCACGCCGCTAGGAAAAAACCCCACATTATTTTTTTTTTTAAAGAAAAGGCAATTTCTCTTTATAGTCATAAAACGATAACAATTCTGCCCAGTATAGAAATGTAAAATAAATTATACTGAATGTTCCTTAATCCCTGCTTGGCACAGTTGCGGTTTCGCCCCCCTCCCCCCTCTTCTGCCCGAACGGAGAGGCTGTGCCCAAACTGGATTTATCCCGCGCCTCTCCCTCGCGGACAAAATATGTCCTCTTTGGTATCAAAATCGAGAGAACCGGACACCGTCCCTCTCCCTCTTGCCCGTGATGTTGTCCGTCCCAGATTGGTTCCGTCTCGTCGGTGGTGTAAATTTGCGAGCGGAGTAACGGGAAGAGCCCGAACGATCCCAAACTTGCCAGTTTCTTCCAACTTCCGACGATCTCTTGGGACAGTCTCTTGTTAACCAGGTTAGCCACTGTTCAAGGCGTACCGGTTAAAACTGTTGATGCGCCAGAAAATCTATGTCGGTACCGGTTGGTTGACGCGCTCAACTACCCCTCTGTTTTCAGGGCTGCCCGGAAACTTGTCCCACGATATTTGGCTACGGAGAAGACGTCTTACTTCAAGGCAACAGGGTAGATTTGCAAATGGGATCCCCCCGAAAAATACTTAGATTTCAGTGCTCCCCTCCCAATTCTGCGTTTGGACGAAGGAAAATCATTTTGGAGATTCAACGGAATCGGTTATCCTTTGTCTCTAACGGTTGTGCCAGTTTCTGGACTAATCGTCTACCCCGACAGCATAGCATGGCTTAAGGGATCTGGTGGGAATCTGCTCCTTCGATCTGCAGTTGAGGATCTAGCAGGACATCCTTACGGGTCTCTGCAGGCCGAGAGGGATCCCAGGAAGGTCAATTGTTTCTTCGAAAGGAAGTGGAAGCTGTACGGATCTCGACGAGTTTGGCTGCGGGAAGAAACGAGGCGTTTTTGCAACTGGGACTCTTCCCAATGTTACTCTTGGTTTACTCTGCCCCGATTCGGTGGTCCCTGTTTTCCACCAACTTCTGGGACACAGGAAATGAGTTGCGGGACCCTCGAAGGACAGGGCCCAGAAGGACAAGGAAGGAACTCTTTGCAATCGAAAAGTCCGACACAATAAAAAAATAAAATTTATTTACTTTCTCCCTGGGAGAAAGGAAGATCCAAAGCCTCCGAGGGACGCCCGGAAAGACGTGGTGCAAATCCTGAACTCTTCTTGGAAGATTTGGGGTGGGGCGCCCCCCTTGTAAGTCCGAAAGCACTCGGTCCTCTTGTCTTTAAACTGAAAAGAGCCGGGTTTCCACGTGCCGAGATTTGGACGTCGCTCGCGGAGCGAGTCTTTTCTTCAACCTGAGTTATCAGATGCCAAAATGCTTTCGTGGCAAGGCGGGCCTCGTGGCCGCTTCGGGGAGTTGGCAACCCTCAAAGGTTTGACCCAGTGCCTTTTAAATGCCAGCTGGATGTCCAACGAGGAGTAGGAAAAATCCTCACTCCTTTGTAAACGAGATTCGTTTGCGAGATTATTTTTTTCCCGCTCTCTCTCTCTCCCCCAAGACTAAAAAAAAGACCGGCAAACCCAAAGCACAAGGTTACAGGGTTGTAGTAGGAGGAGTCCTACGTCTCCCCCAGTCCTAGCCCCCATCTTACATCCCCAATTCTCTTGATTCGTACATACTTTGGAGAAAAGATGCCACGTTACTCGAACGAGGAACTATCCCTGGATTCAAAAGCAGAACGTAAATGCTCGAAGGATTTCCTGTCCAACGAGAGGAACAGTTAAATGTCCCACATTCGCCGATCAGCTAGAGCGAGCTACCTCAAATACACCGGCAGCTTGACTTGAGGGGGTGCGTGGGTTACGTGGTTTGGTTACATGGCGATAGCGTTAGACTTCAAGCCACGGTTCTGAGTTCTCGGCGACAACCGATCTGCTCCCGTTTGGTGAGCTCCCTTTCTCTCATCCTCACGGCCGGAACGAGATCTTTAGCACATGGGTCCATCCATCGTCTACGATGCTCCCCTGGCGTTGTGTCACACTTTCAGCGTCTTCTCGGGCGCGCTGGGCTCGCCACCACCGCTGTTTTTCTTCTTCCGCAGCGTCTCGATCCAGCTGGTGCTGGGGCGGCCGCTGAAACTGGAAAGGGCCAGCGAACTGAGCCGCATGTTCTTGCCGGAAGTGATGAGCTCTCCAAAACCTTCCTGGTGGGAGAAGGCGTAGCCGGAGCGTCGGGAACCCATGCGCCCCACGCGGCCCATGCAACGGTGCTGGGTTTTTTGCTTCTTGCGAACCAACTGGGTGTAACGGACCTGGGGAAGAAAGCAGAGCGAGCGGACGTCAAAGCGAGAGGCTATTCAGCTCTTTGCCAAAATCTTCCCACTACTGCGCCTTCTGCCAGCATCCCAAACCCCCAACCCCAACTCTAACCCCAACCTGAACCCCAATCCCCACCCTAACCCTAACCCCAGCCCTAACTCTAACTCTAACCCCAACCGCAGCCCTAACCCTAACCCTAACCACAACTCAGTGGTGAAATCCTGCCGATTCTTTCTGGCTCGCGCGAGCCGGTAGCGCCAGTGGCATGTGGTTCACTGAACTGGTAGTGGCGGTAGTGCGAGGCTCCGCCCACCCGCCCGCACATCGTTACTTCATGGTTTTAACCAACAAGTAACCCGCTTTTGACCCTCTGCACATGCCCAGAAGGCTTTGCGCATGTGCAGGGGGTCAAAAATCGGACGTGATGATGCGCGCACACTTACAAACCGGTAGGGAAGGTAAGTAGATTTCACCCTTGCCACAACCCCCCTATCCTAATCCTCGATTCACAACGATGCGTTTACCGACCGTTGGATGTTACAACGGCAGTGAAAAAACAGAGACCATCGTAAGCTAAAACTGGTCAGCTCCGTCCGTCCACACGAGGGAATTTTCCCCGCAAAAGAGGGAGGAAGGTCCTGGGTTCCGCGTACCGGCTTTCACTCACCGTGTCCGAGAGTTCTGGCCGGAGGTCCAGCTTGAGGAACCGGAAGGCAACGACTGGCATGATGCAGACCACGGTGGTCAGGGCGATGGTGAGCCACACCGCAGGTTGGGCTAGCGTGTTTTGGGCATTGCCTGGCAAGAAGGAGAAAAACAGTTCATGGAAAGGAGCCAATAAATGGGAATTAAAGGTAAAGGTTCCCCTCGCACATATGTGCTGGTCGTTCCCGACTCTAGGGGGCGGTGCTCATCTCCGTTTCAAAGCCGAAGAGCCAGCGCTGTCCGAAGACGTCT